CCCCTCCTCCTCCCTCTGCCCCGCCTCCTCCTCCTTCTCTTAGGGAATGGAAGCTCTCACTGAGGCATCAGGTCCAGGAATCAGAAACCGAGGCTGCAATAACGTCACAAGGGAAGCAATTTGAGGAAGGGCCTGCTGTGGCTCACAGTGGCACGCACAGTCCGTCATGGCAGGGAAATCGTGGTGGCAAACGCTTGAAGCAGCTGGAAGCATCGATCCACAGACAGGAAGCAGAGAGTGGTGAACGATGAGCGCCCCTTCTCTCTGTTCAGGCAATTAGGGTGAGTCTTCGTGCCCCAACCCATTCCATCCAGATGATCCCTCACAGGCACACCCAGAGGCCACACTAATCTAGACAGCCTTACAGCTGTGCTGTCTCCTAGGCTGTCAGGTTGACAATCGGCATGAACCATCCCACCTAGTACTGTCTCTGCGATTAGTCTATGTGCGTGGATGAACGCTTATTTCTGAGGAAGGCTGTATCCACACCCCAGAATTGGGCCTGTGGCAGCCTCGCTACCTCACTCTATCTAGTCAGGGATCGCTTTGGCTTCGTTTGTGGTGTTAAGTTTACGGCGTGTGGTCTCAGTACTTACACACTTCTGACCTCACTAACCCATCCATCTCTCTGTTTTCAATCGATTGTGTAAAGGTGCATGGATGCTTTGAAAATAAGATTAATGCATATTTACATAGGATGAGAATTCTGTAAATATCCGATGAATTTTGACTTTTGTATTACAAATCTTAATCCTTTTTCACCATTTCTGATTTTTCTGAAGACTAATAATGATGTTGGGAAAATAAATTATAATTTTAGGGTTTTTATATACTAGACTTGTATTTTAATATTAATAGTCAGTAATGAATATTTGATATTAACACATGTTTTAGAAAAGATATATAAAGTTATGGTATGGTAACAAGCAATCCCCAATTCTCACAGACTGAAAGATATCAAAGATTTCAACCTCACCTGCTGATACATACCTGTAATTTCAGAACCTGAGAGACTGAAGCAGGAGGATTACTGCATGTTCAAGGCCAGCCTGATCTACAAAGTGAATTCAAAGCCAACCTCAAACCCATAGCAATACTCTGTCCCCAAACACAAAACAAACACCAAAATTAAACAAGATTTGTGTCTTGTTTCTGCAGATCTGGTGACAGTCACTGCTGGGAGAATTCCTTTGTTTTGAGCCTCACTCTCCCTCACCCTAACTCTCAATTCAATTTTTTCCTGATATGGACATTGTCAGATCTATCTTATTTTATAATTGTTTTGAGAGAAGGTCTCATTATGTAACCTCGGTTGGCCTAGAACTGAATATGTAGACCAGACTGGCCTCCTTCACAGCAATCTGCCTGCCTCTGCCCCCCAAGGTCATCCTGCTCTTTCAGTTTACCTTGTTTTATTTTGTCAGGGTTTTGGGGGAATTGGTTTGGGGGCGGGAGGTGGTTGTTTGTCTTGATCCAGGGTCTCATGTAGCCCAGGCTGGCCTCAAACTCACAACGTCACTTGAACTCCTGATCTTCTGCCTCCACCTCCCGGGTGCCAGGATTACAGGTGGGCACCACACTCCTGTTTTGTTTTTATTTGTGCTTGGTAGTTTATCCAAGCTTTAATTCTTTCCCTCTTTGTATGCTTTTTAAAATATATCTGTAATGTATTAGACAAAATACACCGGACGGTGGTGGCACACGCCTTTAATTCCAGCACTCGGGAGGCAGAGCCAGGCAGATCTCTGTGAGTTCAAGGCCAGCCTGGTCTACAAAGAGAGTTCCAGGAAAGGCGCAAAGCTACACAGAGAAACCCTGTCTCGAAAAACCAAAAACAAAATACATATCACTGGAGAAATTTGGGCTTTCACTGAGGAGGCCTGATTGTTCATATTTATTGTCATGGCTTGGGCTGACTTTCTCATTTAACTTTGAGAATCTGTTTTCAAGCCTCCTTATTTCTGTTCTTAGTTGTCAGTGGTTCTTTGATGTTTTTGATGAGACTTTTTAAATCCATATTTATACTACTACCAAGTCAAAATCACAGACTACAACTTCAGGCCCCTTCAGAAAAGATACAGATAAGGTTCCCGGGGGTCCTGTATTAACTTCAGGGAGGACCCAGAAGAGCCAGTCCACACTCGATGGGTACCGTGGGTCATGGTGTCTCTGAAAAAGGATCAAGGACCCTGTGGGGACCGGTCCATCCCACGGCATTGGCACTGTAGGCCCCAATGCGGGTCTGCACACTGTCCATGACTGAAGAGAGTCCTGGCAAGCACACTACAGCCGTGATCCTGGACTCACACCAACTGGAGCCCTGAACAATTCAGCAGGAGAGCTGCTCCTGGGGAATGCAGGGCTCCTTTACATGACTTTAGACAATGGTGCCTAAGTCCTGGGAGTCCTTTCTCTGTCCTGCCAGCCATCTCCCAAATCATGACAAGGAGACTTATTATTAATTATGAAAGCTCAGCCGGTAGCTTAGGCTTGTTTTTAACTAGCTCTTATAACTGAATTAACCCATCTTTATTAATTTACGTTATGCCTCCTGGCTTTGTTACTTCATCTCCATGGTGCCCATCCTGCTCGCTTGGCATCGCATGGCACTTCCACCTTCTTCCTCCCAGCTTCTCTCTGCCCCAAAAATCCTGCCTAGCTATTGGCCATTTAGCTTTTCATTAAACCAATCACAGTGACATTTCTTCACACAGTGTAAAGGAATATTCCACAACACCTGGACTCCAGTGTCCCCAGCAGTAAAAACAGATATATTGATTCATTTATACACTTACATTTATAGTAAAAATACTTCCATAATAGTAAAATTATAAGGCACATATATGCATATAAGACACCTATGCATCTGTACCTACACTCACACTTTTCCCCAAGGCCAGAGATTGTCTTGTAGACACATCTCATACCCTCTGTGTGACACACAGGAAGCTCTCAACATCTGTATTAGTTCCTTTCCTCGTCACAGTGACAGAGTATCTGAGGAGAAGCCACTGCAGGGCCATCTATTTTGGCTCATGGTTTCAGGGGATGCAGCCAATCCACCATGGCGGGAACACAACAACAGCAGCTGCTTCCTACATTGCAGGGGACCAAGAGGCAGAGAGTACAGACAGAAGTGGAGCAGGCACCTGACCCTTGCGCCCCACCTGCCATGACTCACTTCCTCCATCGAGGCCCCACACCCCAAGACAGCACCACCGGCTGGGTACCAAGTGTTCAGACTCAAGGCACAGCAGTGTCCTTCTGTGAAACTCCTCTCAGGGGCTGCCTTCTGCCTCTCCCAGGATCCACGAGGACTGAGGAACATGGGTCTTCCTCAAGGCAAAGGTGTGGACCATTTTTTGAGGCTGGAATCGGAGTGACACCTGGAAGGATGTATGCCAACAGCGACAGTTAGTACCTCAAGAGCACACGCTGAAGGCAACTACGACTTCTGATTTTCCTGTGTGTTTCTGGTGGGACCTATGATATACATGCACACATACAAACATCCACAGAAGCATTGTTCATAATTAAAAAGTGGGGAAAATCTGAGCAATCATCAACTGGGAAACAGATAAATAAAATGTAAACAAAAGCAGGGAGGGACGGTCTGCAGGGCGGTAAGCGGGGAGGGACGGTCTGCAGGGCGGTAAGCGGGGAGGGACGGTCTGCAGGGCGGTAAGCGGGGAGGGATGGCATGCAGGGCGGTAAGCGGGGAGGCTGCAAATGGGTATGGGACTTCTTTTGTGGGGGGAATGGAAGCCAGTGTAAACGGGATTGCGGTGATCTGGATGATACCGAGAAAAGTTCACTGAACGTGGACACTTCAAGCAGGAAAAATACGCAGTGTGTGACTTGGGTCTCAAATAAAGTCACAGGTCTAGACCCAGCCTGTACTGTGCTGAGTCTGGTCAAGAAGTATGAGTTCCCAGAACTGCAGAGAGAGGTGAGTGGACCACTCCTCAAAGGGCAGCCTGGCATGTTCCTGACATCACCCCTGCTGACCAGGAGACCCAGCCTCTGGGAGACGGTGCAGTGTGGTGTTCCCTCATGGGTCTGCTGCAGCGATGACCTGAGAGCATTGGTTACTACGTCACCAGGTAGATGCACATTCCACCTGCTGTGGGATGGTCTGTATGTCAAATGCCATGATTGGTCAATAAATAAAACACTGATTGGCCAGTGGCCAGGCAGGAAGTATAGGCAGGACTAACAGAAAAGAGAAAGGAGGAAACAGGAAGACAGAGGGAGTCACTGCCAGCCACCGCCATGACCAGCAGCATGTGAAGATGCTGGTAAGCCACAAGCCACGTGGCAAGGTATAGATTTATGCAAATGGATTAATTTAAGCTATAAGAACAGTTAGCAAGAAGCCTGCCACGGCCATACAGTTTGTAAGCAATATAAATCTCTGTGTTTACTTGGTTGGGTCTGAGCGGCTGTGGGACTGGCGGGTGACAGAGATTTGTCCTGACTGTGGGCCAGGCAGGAAAACTCTAGCTACATCCACCCTCACCCCATTACCCTGCTTTCCCAACTTCAAGAAATGCTAAGACAAAGACACCCAAGCTAAAACAACCACACACACACACACACACACACACACACACCATCCTGTCACACAGGAGGCCCGGAAGTACTTCACCTCTAGACAAGACAAACCCTCCGGACTGACAGTTGATGGCTCACAAACCTCTCAAGGGACACTGGCCCCTGTCTGCTCTCAGTGTCCTCCGGGATGAGACTCTGCAGCATAGCCGTCCTCAGCTCTCTGAGTACCCGGGCCTGAGGCTGGGGCTGGGGTGGCTCTGGCCTCACATGGCCCAGGCAGTACTGCTGGGTCAAGTCCATGGTTCTGTAAACGCCTCTCCTGTTGCTGCTCTCGGCCTTCAGTCCATCAAATCCATCCCTTATAGAGGGGGGGGGGTGAGAGTGGCCGACTATCCAGCTGTCCCCTCCTCCCTCTTCAAGTCCTCATCTCTGTCCTTTGAAGTATCCTTACACCCACACAACATCCCCCCAAATTCTTCCTGCCTGTGCCAAGAAACGAAGGTCTCAGACTCACCGATGCCTGCCAGCAGATGGCTGGAGAAGCAGTCATCTCCCAGGTGCATAACAGCCATCACTTTGGGGCAGAGCCATGATATTCTACTCAACTCCAAAATGTCCCATGTTCCTCATGGCAAGGCGGGGTCTCATTTTCGTGTTCCTGACTCAGTGGACATCCGTTGTAGCCAAGGACAAGCCAAAGGCTCCTGCTCTGGTCCCTTCTGATGAGAATAGGGTTGGCCGCTTCACAGTGGAGTCATAGTCCCGGAGTGACGAGGGGGTCAGCTAACAGAAGGTACAGAGGGCCACCATTCTGTCATCAGCAACTGAATCCAAAGTGACCACGTCCCCAGAGGTCCCCAGAGGAAGAAGGACTGCCCAGGGCAGCAAGTGAAAAGGTTTGTACAGAAAGAGGCCAAGGCTGGTACAGTGATGCACACTTGTAACCCCAGCACTTGTGAGGCTGAGGCAGGCAGATTTCTATGAGTTTGAGGCCAGCCTGGGCTACATGGTAAAACTTTTCTAAAGGTGGGGGGCGGGGAGAAGTGGGGAGCTAGAAAAGGCCTTTCTCAGCCCTGGTTTTCCTTTCTGCACGTCTTCCAGTTCAAAAACGACAGAACTGCCTGCGTACTCTCTGCACTGTGGATACCAAAGGTCTAAGAATTCTTTAGGTCCCCTGGGCTGACTGTCCTGGGGTCTCCTAGCCACACCCCCCACTCTGTGCCTTTTCCTGCGATGTCTCTGTGACCTTTTGCCCCTAAGACCAACACCTGGAGATTGGGGGGGGGGGCAGATACCCCGGCCTCTGGGCTGCAGTTTCTCTCTCAGAGGAGAGGCGACAGACATCAGTCAGAGGGCGGCAGGGGTCAGCTGCCCTGGTGGGCCTTGTCCGCTGGCACACTCAGGAAGTGAAGAACAAGGTTATGAGGGGCTGTTCTGCAGAGGGTGCTGAAGTCAGAGTTGTGACGCTCTGGTCACCCCCAGATTATACCGCTGCTTCAGGCCATCTGTGTCTCCACATCAGAGTCCTCAGCAGGAAACCGGAAGCCATCTCTTCTAGTTGCTCCCTTCATCTAATGCAAACTGTTGGCGCTGTTCACCCTGACTCTATGCATGCAGGGTCTCTGCGCATGCTTGACCATCCATGCTCCCTGCTGACCCCTCCCACCCACCATGACCCCGCCCACCTGGCGCCTTTCCCTTCCGGGCAGCTGATTCCTCACACACTCCCCTGGTCCAGTCACTTGCTGCTGTGTCTTGGTCATGATTCAGCGGGACCCCAAGAGCAGATGTTCCGGGCGGGCCCCCCCCCCCGTGTGGCAGTGTAGTAGAACCTGCACGCGATGCAGGACGGTGCTTAGGTCTTACTTCTCTCCCACTCTGAGGGCAGCAAGCTGTTAAAAGGTGAGGCTACCCCACCCAGGTATACAGTCGGCCCTTCCGCGTGCGGCCCATTTCCCTCCCCACCCTGCCGAGTCACAGCCAACGCGTTCCTCATAAGAGGCTGGACAGGAGGGCCCAACCGATCCCAGATGTTTGGTCCCTGAAACTGTGAGTTAAAAAAACAAATGAATAAACCTTTTTCAATTGGGTGTGGCGGTATATGCCTGTAATCCTAGCTCTCGGGAGGAGAAGTCAAGAGGATCAGGAGTTCAAGCCAAAGTTCATCTTTGGCTCTGTGAGACTGTGTCTCAAATAAATAAATAAATAAATAAATAAATAAATAAATAAATAAATAACATAAACCTCCTTTTTTGATAGTGTGCACAGTCTCAAGTGTTCTGCCACAGACATATCCACCAACTTGTTTAATTCACATCTCTCTCTATTCAAATGCCCGTCTCTCAATCAGACCTTCCCTACCCACGTTATCTTGAGGTTGTCCTGGTACCATTGTCCGTGGTTCTGGTTTCCCTCTGCTCTGTATAGTACATTCTGTCTGTGGAAATGCCATGAGGCAGGATTGTGACTTGGTCGCAATGAATGTCAGGCATCTCGGCCCCGAGACATTTTAAATACTCAATAAAATGTTTGTTGAGTAAATAAAGCATTGTGGTTACAGCCAAGTCTTCAATAACAGCAGAATTAAACTAAACAAATGTAGAACTTAATGGATGTGATTTTTAGTCAGTTCTAAAAACTTTCACAATACTCATATAAAATTCCCACAAAGTCCTGTGGGCAGGAAGAGTGATCTCTGCAATCAGGGAGGTCCCGGGCAGGCTTGCCTAGGGTCTAAGTGTCTCCGACAAGAAAACTCGGGTCAGGAAGGAGCTCCTCAGTTTGGCCAGACTGACTAGTCAGCAAGCCCCAGGGATCCCGTCCTCACCTCTCCCGTGCTGGGATGTCAGGCACACGCTGTTGCCTGGCTCTTTTGACATGGGTTCTGGGGGATTGAACTCAGACACTCACGCTTGTAAAATGAGTACTCTATCAATTGAGTCATCTCCTGTCCAGAACCCACTTCTAGAGAAGTCCTCAGAGTCTCTGTGCACTAAAACAGCAGCCACACGCAGTGCTCAAGCAAGAAGAAAGGACACTCCGACCTGCTGTCCAAACCTGCGCCCCGATCACCCGCCAGCCATACCTGTAGATGGCCTGGGCCTCCCAGCTGTAAACACCTGCAACCCGGCCATTGTTGGGGCTAGAACTGGGCACAGCACCACACTGCCTGGCTCACCCGGCCACACCTGGGCGTCCACTACAACCTGCAGAAGTCTGCCGTAAGAACTGCAAAAATCCAGCTATCCCAAGAATTCCGTGACTAGCATGAAGTATGTGTTTTAAGTTTTTATGTAGTCACACTACTCATCCCTAAGCACAATGCTAACCATAGCAGGAGCTGCCGGCAGATGCGAGCTGATTCACGGCAATGCAGTTATAGTCTGACCAATATTTCTTTGTATGATATTGGAAAAATAGTTAGTCTTTAATATTATGTGAGATATTTACAATGTCTCCTCCTGTTATAACTCTGGTTTATTTACCAGAATAATCTTGACTATTACATGAGACAGGAATTATAAATTCAGAATAATGAAAGCTCTACTGATTTTTTTTTAAGTCAGTGGGGTGGTGTCTACATTTGTCAAAATCCATCAAACTTAAAACACGTCAAACACTTCCAGTAGGTACACTTATATGTTAACTATAGCTTATTTGAAACTTTAAAGGGGAAGTGTTCTCAGGGAGGATGGGGCAGAGGAAGGAAGGAGTCTCTGAGGACAACCAGGCTTTCGGAGCAGCGGACCCTGCCCTCAGTGGAAGCAGGGGCAGCCGGGAAAAGAGAAGGAAAGCAATGGCCGCAGGGGAGCTGCCTGCCGTCTTTCACAGGCTGCTGTCTTCTTATGGACGTCGTATCTACTTCTGACCCGTGTTTCTGTTTTGTTTTGTCCATTTCTTTTCTATCCCAAACCAAGGAAGCACTGCCGAGTAGGTTCTACCACCGCAGAAACACTGGTTCCACAGCTGAGCAGGGACTAGACCAACAGAACGGCACAGTCCGAACACGAGGGCATTTGCACAAGAGTTAGGACTAATGTCCTGGGACATTAGCAGGCCTGACACCTGCGGCCGGCCTTTCAGGAATCTGAAAGCCGGCGAGGACAGGTGAACCGCAGCCTGATGGCGCCCTCTGGTGGTGAGGTGTCGTGACTGCATGGAAGTACAAAAATGCAAGTTTGGTACTCTAGGGCACATAACAGTCAGATTTGCTTTTAAACGAGTTTTTTGGGTCCCGCCCCCAGTTTCTAATGTGGGCTCTGAGATGGTCCTGAGAGGATTTCTTCAAACTTCCCAGGAACGAAAATAATAAAGTTCCTAGGAGACTCTGTTGCTGCCACTCTTGGTATAATCAATTTGGTGATGTAGACAGGCACTGATGTCTATCCTGGTACAAAACTGCATGCTGGGAAATCAATGAGCAGTCATTTGCTACACCCCAAGAGCAGCTCGGAGGTTTCTGGCCTGCTGTTGTCCGAGTGTGTCACCCAGAATTCATGTGTTAGGAAGTGAAACCTTTGGGCATCCTTTGGGTCATGAGAACTCTATCTCAGGAATCGAATGATACCATTATAAAGGGGTTTCCAGAGGAAGGCCGGTCCCTTTCTGAGGACACAGACAGAACAAGCCTCTAGTTTAAACATAGATGGTAGGCAGTGGTGGCACACCTTTAATCCTGGCACTCTGGAGGCAGAGATCCGTCTGGCAAAATAATTTCTTATTCTCCAGTGGATGAAATGCTCAAGGCACCATCGTGGAGAGAGACTCTGTCATGACAATAAACAAAGACAGGACTCTGCCATGAAAATAAACCTACCACAGACTTGATCTGAGACTTCTGCACTCCAGAACCATGGAATTTTGTTCTTTGCAAATTATATGGACTCAGGTGTTTCATTATAGCAGCAGAAAATGTGCCCTGTACATCTCTGCCAAACAGTCCTCCCATGGGATCCAGCTCCTCACTCGTCCCACGTTCCCCTCATGCACATGAGCTTTGTCTACAGACACCCTCCCATAACCCAGGGGCTCACAAACCCACAGAACCCTGGGGAACATGTCAACAGATGGATGCTGACCTTGACCAACTGTTCCTCTGGACAGGCCTGGAAAACTGCAGCCTCTCCTTCAGGCTGGGTCCCATAGCTATGGGACATCTATGGATTCTAGAAACCAAGAAGTAATATTCACAGTTGGGGCAACTGATCACAGACCAACCCCTAAGAGCTGGGTCTCCAGTGTAGTTGACTGGAGTGATTATGAACAGCCCCAGTCTCTCCAGCCACGTGGCAGATTGACCCAGCAGCCCAACCATGGTTTGGAGGCAGGAGATTAGCTCCCAGAAATCTGTGTCCCAATCCTAAAATCTATGAGCACACCGCTTTGTATGATCAAATGCAACCACTCCCTGTGATTTCTGCAGTGTCTGGTGTGGCTTGCCTTTCTGTCCCTACTGGCTGTGGATTTTGCTCCACCATCGAGGGTCAGGGTGTGACCCTTTGACCTCTGACATCACTAGCAGACCTCCAGCTACATCCCTAGAGACACATGGGAAATGTCTGTGGGTACTGTCAGTGTCAGTTAAATAAACAACTAACAAAAAATAACTTGCCCTTATCTAGACAGACTTTTTCCAAAATTGATGCTGGGTAAATAGGGAAGGGGTTGGCATAGCAACTGTACCAGCAGGAGGTACTCTCTTAGGAGGGAGGCTGTCTTTGCAGAGAACATAGGGGGCAGATGGGTGAAAAAGGAGGACATGATGCTCCGAGGCATGGTTGAGAAGGTTTGTTGTAGATCTGAGCACAGCCAGAGGCATCCGGAAGGGTCCAGAGTGAACTGGGCCGTGAGGGAGGGTGGCAGGGAAGAAAGGAAAGCGAGCAAAGAGAAAACACAGGAGTCGAGAGAACCCAGAGGACACAGCGGGGTTATACGGGAGTCAGAGAAGCTGGGGAAGGGAAGGGAGGTTCAGAGGCTGGAGAGGTTTAGGGTAGGGGTGAGGTATGCCAGCCAGGGTGACTGTCAGCCAGGTGCTGAGAGCCTGGTGGCCAACATCCACTTTGATTCTTTAATGGACACCTCAGGTAGACATTCGTCCTGGCTTCTTTGAGAACTAACGGCAAATGCCAATGGGTTGTCGTGGAAGGGGACAGTCATCTGACTAGTCAGCTGGCTAGTGGTTCTGTCTGAGCTGAGAGGGAAGATTCCCTTTGCTCCAGAGAGACTGGGGTTGAGGAGACCGGGAACTGTGCTGCCAGGGAGGGAACAAGATGGCGGAGGCCAAGAGTCACCCAAGGCCAGCTGAGGAAGAAGTGTGATGTTAACACAGAGCACATCCAACTTGGAGTTGAGTTTGCTGGGATATAAGTCCCTCTACTTGCCTGGGTGGGCTTGAAGAAGGTGGAGTCAAGAACAGGCTGAGTCCTACACCTTGCTCCTTGTTTGTAGAAGAGGGGCCACGCCCAGCAGTGATGGGAAGGGCAAGCCATGCCAGACACCGAAAATCATGGGCAGGACTTGGAACCCCTCTGGGCGTGGAATGGAAAACCAGGCTGAGATTTCATTAGGACCAAGGGGCAGAAACCCATCCAAACCAACACACACCCACTAAGCTCACATTTTCTCGTACTCAGATAGGGAAAGATCTGAAATGCCCTTTACTTAAGTCAGTAATTAGTAACCACCTCAAAAAGTGTATATTTTATCAGATTCTACTACTTTGTCTTTTTGAGACAGGGTCTTATGTAGCTCAATGGTTGTGACTAAAACAAGAAGCAGCTTGTCCAGCTCACAGGAGAAAGGGTCTGTTTTGGCTCACAGTTTGAAGGTGCTGAGG